AAGACTACATCTCCATGTTAGCCCAGGGCTATGCAGGGTTATATTCAGATCATTGTTAACCATTATATAAAATATATGTCTGGCTGCCAGTACCTAAATAAATGATTTAATGCTGTTTCTTTCTGGCCTATAGATTTGGTATGGCCAGAATAGTTTATTTTTGCTGAGGGCTGCAGGCTACGTTTAGTTTTCTGTTTAATACTAAATCAAACTTTTGTTCTTTAATTTTTTGCTGTTAAGTTTTAATACAACATGATAGGATTAATAAGATTTGCTAGCCCCTTTATAAATTATATTTAATTAAAAGTTTTGCTTTGATTTTAGTTTAAAAAGAGCAGATTTAAAGTTCTGTTAAAGATTATAGTTGAGTACAAGATTGAGTTTTACCTAGTCTCTTTGTTTAGTTTTTTTTTTTTAAGGTTAAATTTAAAATGGATAACCATAAAGTTTGCCTATATAGATCTACCTAAAATTTGGTTCTAAAACATATATTCAAAAAATATGCCAAAATTAGAGATTATAACATCTTGTTTTATAGGATGCAGTTTAGAGCAGATAATAAAGGTAGACAAAGAGCAACTCAAATATACTGCCTCTCAGACTTGCCAGAGATCTGATAAATATGGCATTTTAACATATGTAAGCTTATTATGACAGAGTCCAACCTGTTGAGCCACAAGAATTCAAATTAATTCAGTTTTTATACGTGCAACCTATAGTTTTTCCATTTAAAACAAAAGTTAGCCCAACTGTTGATACTTTAATGGTATTTACTGATGTTTCATTATCTGGTGTTGCTGCCTATGCTTATGAAAGAAACACAATGTATTTTCAAGTGTCTAGCATATCTGCACAAATAGCAGAGTTATCAGCAGTATTGGCTGTGTTTCAAAGTTTTAATAAGCAATCTTTGAACATTTTACAGATAGTGCGAATGTAGCTCAGTCTTTGCCTAGGTTAGAGACTGCAGGTCAAATTCAGACATCTTCTCCTGCTGGAATTTTAGTTTTACAAATTCAAATTTTTTTTCTTTTTTAAAATTTTTTATTAATTACACTTTATTTATTTTGTATCCCCCCATAAGCCCCCCCCTCCTCCCCTCCCGATCCCACCCTCCCTCCCCCTTCTGCATGCATGCCACTCCCCAAGTCCACTGATAGGGGAGGTTCTCCTCTCCTTTCTGATCTTAGTCTATCAGTTCTCATCAAAATTGGCTGCATTGTCCTCTACCATGGCCTGGTAAGGCTGCTCCCCCCTCAGGGGGAGTGATCAAAGAGCAGGCCAATCAGATTATGTCAGAGGCAGTCCTTCTTCCCATTACTATGTACAAAGAGGATGGACATCAGAAGAAAAAGAAAATAGGAAACAACCTCGGAACCTGCTACAGAGGGCCTCTGAAAGCCAGAAGAAAACAGGAAACAACCTTGAAACCTGCCACAGAGGGCCTCTGAAAGCCTCTGCAGTATAGACTGTCAAAGCAGATGCTGAGCCTGATGGCCAACTGGTGGGCAGAGTGAATGGAATTTTATGTAAGAAGTGGGAAATAGTAAGAGCTGGAGGGGATGGGAACTCCACAAGCAGAGCAACAGAACAAGATAATTTGAACACAGGGAACTTCCCAGAGACTCATACAAATTCAAAATTTGATACAAGAAAAAAACTTTCCCTTTTTTATAGGACATTTGAGGGCTCATTTTAATTTGCCAGGACCTCTGTCTGAAGGAAATGCATTGGCAGATAAAGCCACCAAAGTTTATTGCTTACAATTAAAAACAGCCCAGGATGCCCATAACATGCATCATCTTAATAGTCAAACCTTGAGACTTAAATATGGGTTGACTAAGGAACAGGCCCATAATATAGTCAAGGCTTGCAGTACTTGTCCTCAATTTCAGCCTGTTCCTCATTTGGGAGTCAATATTAAAGGACTGGTTCCAAATCAGATTTGGCAAATGGATATTACTCATATTCCTGAATTTGGAAAATTAAAATATGCACATGTTTGCATTGATACCTATTCTGGATTTATTTTTGCCACTCCTCAACCAGGAGAAGCTGCAAAAAATGTTATTGTTCATTGTCTACAGGCTTTTAATGTTCTAGGAGTTCCTAAGCAATTTAAAAACTGACAATGGAACAGGATATACTAGCAAATCTTTTAAAAGATTTTGCCAACAGTTTCAAGTTTCTCATATAACTGGAATACCTTACAATCCTCAAGGACAAGGCACGCTAGCGCATGCGCACTGAATAATTAAGATTTACTTGCAAAAAAACAAAGAAGGGGGAGCCACTCCTCTGGACACCTAAGAATCATCTTAATCATGTTCTTTTCATTCTGAATTTTTAAAAAAATTGGATAAGCATGGTAAATCTTCAGCAGATAGATTTTTGCATACAGAAACAAACAAACAAAACAACAACAACAACAAAAAACTTTTGCTAAAGTAAAGTGGAAGAATCCTTTAACAAATCAATGGCATGGACCTGACCCTCTATTCATATGGGGACGAGGATCTGTCTGTGTTTTTTCACAGGAAAATGATGCAGCTTGATGGCTACTGGAATGCCTGGTGTGACAAGTGGATGAAGAGTTTTCTCCTGACAATAATAATGATGTCAAAGAAGACCTCTCCAGTCAAGATGACTGCTTATGTGTTGCCCTCAAGGAAGAGTGTTGTTTTTACATGGACTATTCTGGGGTTGTGAAAGACTGCATGGGTAAAGTTAGAGAGGGCTTAGAAAGGAGAAAAAGACAGAGAGAACAAGAGGAAAGTTGGTTTCATAATTGGTTTTCAACCTCTCCCTGGCTCACCACTCTCTTCCTTTTAATCTTTGGACCCACAGTAGGCTTCCTTCTCCTCATATCTTTTGGCCCAATGGGCCATTAAAAGACTTACTAGCCTTGTAAAACAGCAAATTGACTCCCTGGTATCTAAATCCATACAAGTTCATTATCACAGACTTGATTTGGCTAACTGAGGCTTATCTGAGCCTGAGGAAGACTGGTAACAGTCTATCACATGGGTCTTGATTGTTTGCATTTGGCTCTCATGAGAACAGAATGAAACTCAGATAAATGCTTGCCTGATGTGGCATGGGCACCACAGGGGTGTAGGATGAGGTACCGTGGGGGAAGGAACCAATTGTCTGCTTCTGAGTTCCCCGAGAAGCAAACCTGATTGCATAGAGGTTGGTGCCTGATCACCCCTAACCACAACCTGCTGGGGATGCCCTCAGGTGTGGATGGAGTCTTCCTGTCCTCCCTAAAAAGACACCCAAAAAGGCCTGCAAAACACCTGGTGAGGATCAGGTCACTATTTCCCCCCTTTGGTTAAATGCCCACTGTCTTCAAAAGATCTCATATTCATAACCTACATGCTAGCCTCTTAAGTTATTTGAGAAAGGGAGGAGATGCCAGGAGCCAAGGCCAGCTAGTGGAAAGTTACCAACAGCTGCAACAAGGTCGTGGGTGAGAGATTTATGTTTCCAGAAGTTATGAAACATCTGTTTGTCAGGCTAGACATTTTGAGATATCTTAGCTGACATTCTTGTAGTATCTCTTTCAGTAAACATTCTTGTGGTATTCTGCATCATAATCAATCACCCTGTTATCTTTTGTAAACTATTTTGCTGACACATTTTCCCTTCCTGCCTTCTCCCTGTATAGTTGTGTAAAAAATTTCAAATAAATGAGAGCTGGATCAATTATAGACTTGCTCTCATTCTTTGTGTCTTTTGTCTCCCCCATTCTTTTAGCTTCTCCTTAGGAACTCATTGAACGCCTGCTGGATTTCTGCTTCCATGTGACATTTTTGGAGAGTCTGCTTTCTCTAGCACTGCTAGTGACTTTCCAGAGGAGTCCCCAGATCCTAGCCCCAAAGCACCAGCCTGCTATGTTAAGGAGCCTCCCACCAGAGAAAGTTCATCTCTGGGGATGAGGAAGATGTCAAGGAAATCATGCAAAGAGACTAGAAAGAAATAATCTCCTGTATCATTGGATTAATGTCCTCATAGTCTCTATAGCTTCTACAGAGCTAACATTGCTGTTCCCTGGAGTTTATTAGGCATTTCCTATGTCCCAGTCACTCCCTACCACTTTCTAGTGGTAAGGCTGCTTCAGCAACCTCTTACTTCAGAGATGCAGTGACACTGTGACCCTCATTCTACAAGTGAGCACCAAGACTTCAGTTGGTTGGCTTGCTTACTTGCACAAAACTAATTTCATGGAACTCAATATCACCTTGCCTTCCAGAGTGAACTCTCCCCTTGGACATAATAGCTTCGCGTGTGCAGCCTTGGGTGATTCACTGTGGTGGTATGAGTGAGAAATGTCCTCCACAGGCACAGACATCGGAACACTTGGGGAGTTGGCGGTGTGCTTGTAAAGTTTATCAGGAAGTACAGCCTGGCTGGAGGAAATACATCACTGTGGGGTGGGCTTCTAGCATTTAAAGCTTTGCCTCTACTGTGATTGGTAGTGGGTCCCATGAGAGGGGATATCCAAAGGCTCCAATTACTGTTTGGGGTTTCCTTTTGTGAGGCTCAAGGGGAGAAAGAGCTGGATTACTAAGGGTGGTTCTCTGTTGTGATTGATGGGTGAGCAGAGAGTGGACTTCATGCTTATGTTTGAAGACATAATCCCTGAGCACCCTGCACCTGTCGCCATGCCTACCATTTGCTGCCGTGACTCCCCACCAAGATGGACCCTTATCCCTCTGCAACCTTAAGTCAAAGTATTCTTTCCTCCTCAAGTTGCCTTTCATCATGGTGTTTTGCTACAGTGACAGAAAAGTAACTAACACATCCACTCACCCTCAAGGAGCCTGTTTCCTTCTGCAGAGAGGGAAGGAAAAGATTGTTGTTGACACTGTTGTACTAGGTGATGGCGACATTCGTGTGGTACTGCTTGCACACATTACCACACTCACCGTCCCGCAGGCAGTAGAGGTCCATGGGACTTACACCTGAATGGCTGCTTACACATACCAGCCCTCCACCAACCCATCTTTAGATGAACAGCTCCTAGCAAAAGGAGAGCGGTGCTCACCTTTTCTGGAGTGAGAGGCTCCACTTTCTCAGCTTCCTGGCTGACAGACTCTTCTCCAGATGCCACATCTTGCCCTTGCCCTTGCCCAGGAGGATGAAGAAAGCCACGGCATCGCCCCTGTAGTCCATCTGCAGCATGGTGCAGCCCAGCTCTCTGTCCACTCCGAAAGCAAAAAACTCCGTCTGGTGAATCATGGGGACAGGCACAGTGCCGCCCTTGCTCAGGAGGAATGGAAAGCTCTTGTTTGTGTTTGCAGCGCTGAAGGGCTGTGTCCAGTTGGCTAGCATGTAGAAAGATGAGAGGGCTTAGGTCAGTGCAAAGGAAGAGGGGGCTTTACATCCCTGCATCCTGCCAGACAAAGACAGGCAGAGCAGGGAGATAAGGACCTCTGGAAACTCGAGTCTCCAAAAACACAACCATGACTAACATTGTGAGGCCCAGACTTAAATCCCCATACCCACTCACGTACACACACACACACACACACACACACACACACACACACACACACTACACATATATAACACATACACACCACACACACACATATAACAGTACATTCCACATACACACCATACCACACCCCATACTATACAAACACCCTATACACCACATCATACCACACCATACACTCCCTCCACACACACACACACACACATGCACACATGAACACAAAGACAGGAACACATGCACCACACACACTCACACCACACCCATATATACATAACAAACACACCCTTTATACCACATATATGTATATACCATATATGTATACACATATACATACCACATATCACACACACACAAATCCACACACAAATATACTCCATATACCACACCCCCACATAACACACATGCACTTGCATACACACAAATACACCACACACCTCTGCTTACACACACTGTCACATATACACAACATACACTATGAACGTACCTCAAAACTTCAACAGCCACAGACTCATTCATCCCCAAAGAATTGCCTTTGTCTGATCTGCTTCCTGAAATACCAAATGAATGACTTATAAAAGCCATCAGTATCTAATCTGACTTGGAGTTGAGGCAAGGCAAATATCAGTTCCCTGGGGACATTTGCCAAGGTAGTGGCAGGCAGAACTCTGAAACACCTCAGGCAGTACTTAACAGTTGAGACGCCACTAACCACAAAGATTAAGAGGACTAACCGAGAGGAGAGGAGGGAGGTCCTGTCAGTTAAATGATAAGAGTAAATCCTTCTACATTACCACCCTTCCCTAGACATGGTCCCAGTCAGCTGTGGTGATGCAAGCAGAGGTCATTCAAGACATATGGCCGAATCTTTATGCCTATGGCGAACTTTGTGACACCCTTACTGGCACTAGTCTCTTCCTTTAGTCTCCAGCTCAGCAGTGACTAGAAGTATTGTAGACTGCATTAGCGCAAACAGCGGGAGAGGAACAGAACTGGGGGAAGGGGTGCCTTCAACGTCTCATTCTCCCCAAAACTGTCACGGTGTGACCTGCATGGGGTCCCCAAAGACCCCCCTCACACAACTGATTGAGGCATCCTCCGGTGCCTAATGCCTTTTCCCTGGCGGTGTGGGAGTGCATTTCAAATGCAGTTACAGACAAGTGTCCTCACTTCTTGGCTGTCTGAAGGGTGGATAACAGATAAGACAACAGAGATATAAAGAAATAGATGTCTAAAGAATCAAGTGTGTACAGGAGGTTTGGAAACTTCCAGAATATCTCAGACACGCAGAGGCCCCACAGATGAGTAAAGCTATAGGCAGCTTGGGAAATACCTGGGCATTTCAGACTTCTTGCTGACAGCTGGCCTTGGGGTGTGCAAACAGAAAATGAAGGGTGAGTAAAAATTAGAGACTGCTTTGCCTCATAGACAAAATTATAGACAATTTAGCCATATAGACAGCAAGTTACGATATGCCTCCAGCGGTCCTCTGCAAAGACTGGGAGATCTTCCAGCCAAAAAGACATCTGCGATTTTTAAGAATTCATTCGGAAGAAGCAGGAAACAATTACCACAATGACCAAAAAGGACAAACCCTCTAGATGGGGGGAATTAATTTACATTATTTACAATGTTGGGCTGAAAACATACAAATGGGCGAGAGAGATGGCTCTGAGGTTAAGAGCACTCACTACTCCTTCAGAGGACCCAGTTCAGCTCCCAAATTATATCCACCTGTAGCTCCAGTTCCAGGGGATCTGATGTTCTTTTCTGGACTCTGTAGGCAACTGCACTGTGTATAAATACTTATCACAAGGTACACACGTGCGTGCACATAACTAAAAATAAATAATAAACTATTTTAAAGAAAACAAACAAAAAATGGAGTATGAAAAGAAACAAGAAAGTATACCCGATCTTTAAGGGGTGAGGAGCGGTTAATGAAAGTGTTGCTACGGAAAACCAGGTATGGCCCAAATTAAGTGTTCTGAACATGCTCCAACAGCTAAAGGATACTCTATTTAAATAAGCATCTACCTGCAATGAGAGAAATGATTTGAAGTCATCATGTATAGTCTAGAGTTGGAAAATCACGGAAATAAAGATGTCACTAGAGAGACTCCACACAGATTAGAACTTACGGAAGATGGTAACCACTGAGCTAGAAAATGTGGTGGTTAAGTCTGTAATATGAGGAACACCGAGAAAGAAGATGGAGGAAAATGAACAACACACCAAACACCTGCGATACACCATCAAGCACAGCAATCCACACTCCATGGGACTCCCAAAAGGAGGCGAGAGGAAGAAAAAAAGAGACTGTGGTTATGGGAAGAAGTAACATTCAGAAGTTCGCAAAACTTGGTTTATAAAAACCTTTTGATACAGTTAGCAAGTTCCATACTTAGACATACCGTAATCAGTCAAAAGGCAAAGAAAAAACTTCCCGAGAAATGTCACAATTCAGGTGGCTTCAATAAGGTTAACAGATGGTTTTCTTACCAGAAAATATAAGGATTGAACAGTGGTTGGATGAAACAAAAACAAATGAGATTTTATCAGTGCTACTGGAACCTCTCAGATTGGAATGAGTTAGTAACATGGATTCATACAAACAAATAATAGACCTTTGCTAAGGAAATTATGCTGTTAAACATGAAAACAATGTAAGTATTTTGGAGGTGGATATGGTGGCACACACTTATAATTCCAGCACTTGGGGGCAGAGGCAGGAGGATTGCCGCAAGTTCAAGGCCAGTTTGATCAAGAATGCAAATTCTTGATTGAAGAGTGAGACCCTCTGTCTAAACACAGAAGAAATCTAAAGCAGGAGGGCATGAGGTTTTTCTGTTATGTTTTCTTCAGGGAAAAGGCATCCTGTAAAGTGATTATGAGGCTGGAGAGATGGCTCAGCTGTTAAGAACACTGATTAACCCTGCAGAGGACCCAAGTTCCATCCCAGCACCTACGTGACAGCTCACAAATGAATATAACTCCAGTTCTGGGGGATCTGACACCCACTTCTGGCTTCTACAGGCATGGCACACATGTGGCCTACATACATAAAGACAAAACACTCATATACATAAATAACTTGATCATAACATAATTAAAACAAAATAAATTGATCATAACAAATCTGTATTGGTGGGCATGCATGTGTAGAAATATATGCAATGATATCAAAGTGGCATGAATAACTACTGAGAAAAATGGTTATAACTGTTGGAATAATGATTGATATTAACACGAATTACATTACAATTACATGTTAATTGGAATCCCCATGTTAACAACTAGGAAAGTAACTGAAGTGATGATGAAAGAAAAAGGAATTGAAAACTAGGAAATTGTCAAGTAGAAAATATTTTGACATACTAGATGGCAATATGGAGACATTGAGGCAGAAAAGCACACAGAATACACAGAAAATATAGTGAAATGACACCTGTATACTATATCAATATGAATATATTCAGCTCTGTAGCTGAAAGTGGAGACCGAGAGAACCAACTTAAAATTGTACTGTCCAGGGATATAGTATTTATAGAGACAATAAGCCCAAGGAAAGGTGGTAAACGCCTTTAGTCATTAGGGAATACAGAGGAAAACCATAATGAGTTTCCACTGCCCAGCACCATGGCTGTCATCACAAAGATAGACTTTAAGAAATACTAGGGATGGTGAAATGGCTCAGTGTATAAAGATGCCACCAGCCAAACCTGGTAACATGAGTTCAATCTCTGGTGATGTAAGAACAGAACCAGTCCTGTATGTTGTTTTGTGAATTAGACACACACACACACAAATAAACTGAAATTTAGAAAAAAAATAGTAGTGAGAATATGAAAAAAACTGGATCCTTGTGGGCATAGCTCCTAACTCTTTAACAGTTGAGAATGGATTATCACATGGAGCAGCAGTCTCTCTCCTGGGTGCCCATTTGAAAGGCTCAAAATTACATCTACACAAAATGCACGCTCACTAAATGTTCACAAGAACCTTCAGAGTAGCCCAAAGTAGCATCAGTCCCAATGTCCATAATCTGACGCACAGATGTACTGACTGTTGCATTGTCCACATAACAGTATTTGTTTCAGCTATAGTGAGTGAGGGCAGGAAGTTAGCTCCTGTGTTTGGATCCATGCACGCAAGGAGCAACATCCTGGCTTTTATTCTCAGCACCAAATAACTAATAAGAACAAAGACTAGAAAATAAAGGGAAAGTGCAGAAAGGAGAAAATGACTGAGTGGGGTGCCAGACAGTACAGGTGAAACTTGAGCACACCTATTGTTTCATTTACTTTATTAGAAATGTCTAAATAGGCAAGTTGCAGAGACATAGAGCCTCCAGGGGGAAGGACAGGAGTGGGGGAAAAGCTCCTTTTCTTGCGGGGGTCCTTCTGAGGAGGAAAGTGTGTTGTGAAGTTACAGAGAGCAGCTGAAATCTGTTTTCAAAGCTGATGCTCATTTTAACTTTAGAATAGTGTCCTTTTAATTCACTGTTCTTGTGAACAGCAAAGGATGAGAGTGGTGGCTCTCAACCTTCCTACTGCTGTGACCCTTAATGCAGTTCCTCATGTTGCGGTGAGTTCCAACGGTAGAATCATTTTGCTGCCACCTCATGGATTTTGCTACCATTACGAATTGTAAGTAAATATTTGATATACAGGGTATCAAATATGCAAACCCAGAGAAAGGGTCATGACCCAGAGGTTGAGAAGCACTGCTCTAGACAGAGATATGTGATAGCCACCAGCTTGTCCATACTTCCAACCCAGCACAGCTTTGGTGAAGATGCCAGTGACCAAAGGCACTGACTTAGACACTTTGAAATGGTCTTATGCTGTGTGCATGAACTTTCATTCTAAATAAACCTGTTTTTCTGTGTTTTCCTGTGTTTGGAGGATGTGTGGGTAAAGGGCTAGATAAATGGGTGGATTGGATTGGGAAATAGAGAAATGGGTGTGTGGATGAAAGCATGGATGAACTGGTGGTTGGGCGAATGGGAGGATGGATGGAGGGGAAAAAAGCACAATAGAAAGGCGGGAGAGGAGGGAGGGGACCACAGCACAGTGGCACATACAGCTCTGAAGACTCGGCTTCAGGCACAGCCCTGTGAGGCTGTGTGTGCTCAGTGATCGGCCAGCCAAGCGGCATCTCCCAGCATAGAGTGGGCACTTAGTCCTTGGCAGATCTTGTACAGGAACACACTTAGGACTGTGGAACAAGAGAGGGCAGAGGTAGAAGCCACATTCAGAGCCATGTAGCTTCAATGCTGGTGCTCACTGGGCTCCAGAGTGATGCCACTTGTTACAATGTCCTTATGTACAGTAAAAGTCTAGACAGATGTGAGGGACAAACCAGCTTGGGCACACTTTCCAAACTTTTGAAACTGTTCTCACCATTGGGATGGCTTTTTAACTGACCAGTCAGGGACCCTTGTGTCACTGCTATGGAGTTTGCTGGGGGAAGTCAGACAGCTGCTGGTGGTAAATTGCAAGTTCTTTTCTCCTAAAGAGTCCCAGAGGATGTTTTGGGAGGCTGCCTGGCTGAGCGCAGCATCAGCCAGACTTCTAGGATAGGCCCTTGGTTCATGCTAACACAGAGATGAACAAGGCCCAGTGTTAACTAATGAATGGCAGCTGGAGAGAAGGAGCAGAAGACAATTAAGGGTGTACAGGTAGCTACTTGCAAAGCTGAGGAGAACTCAGGCACACTCTGAGTTCTCTAGGGCTTGTTTTACACACCTGTTTCCTTGACTACACAACACCAAAAAAATGTAAATCAGGGGTGGGTTGGGGTTGTGTTTCTGTTGGTAGCAAATCCCTGGGTTCAGGCCTCAATGCATCAACAGGGCGTGGCGAACACACCTATAATCCCAGCTTTAAGGAGGTGGAGGCAGGAGAATCAAAAGTTCAAGGTCATCCTCAGCTACATAGCATGATGGAGACCCTCTTAGAATACATAAGACCCTGACTCAAGAAACAAACAAACACTCAAGTAAATAAAGAAGGAAGGAGAGAGGGGAAAAGAGAAATGAAGAAAAGAGAAAGACATCCTCACCTTTAAAGAAGATGTGGTTCACCAGGACCAAGGCTGTCTGAGAGTCAAGGTCTTGGATGACATCTACCACCTTCCCTCTGGTCTCCTCCACATAACTGTTGATCCTGGCCTGAGAAGTGACAGTGTTTGAGAAGTCTTCAGAAAAGACATTTGTTACATAAAGCCTCTTGGCCCTGTCCAGAAAACTGGCCTGAAGCTGCAGCTCCTTCCTCATGAAGACTGCCCATCCACAAGTCCCAGTCTTTGTGACACACATTCAGCGATCGGACCAGTTGCTCGAAGCCCAGGTGGATGGTGAGCTCTGGCATGTGCATGAAGCTAAGGCTCTGGAGGATTTGCCTCTTGGTGGCTGAGTGGGCTCCCAGGGACAGCATGGCCAGGGAAGTAGAGATACTCACAGGAGAAAAAAGGACATTCTGACCTGGCTTTCCTGGACCAGCCTCCATGGAGGCTCGTGTGAGGCTCTCAGATATCTTACCAAGTCACTGCTGTGTATGTTCTGATCCTACAGTGAGCAATAGGGCCTCATGAGGGCGTGGTTGTGTAACTTGGCACAGGGTCACAGGCAAGGTTATATGCTAACTGGGATGCCACTCAGGGTTCCAGCCCAACCTCCAGGCTTTTTGCTGTTTCTTATTCCTCTATTTATGCCTTAAACCATAGGGAAAGTGAAAGCATGTTGCCTTACAAACATGAGGACCAAAATCCTGATTCTTAAAGTCAGAAGTGACTTCCAGCCCTTTGAAGCTGCCTATTTACCTAGCATGTGCTAAGACTTGGGGTTCCATCTCACACAAAAACTGGGGATGGTGGCAAATGCCTGGAACCCAGGCACTACTGGGAGGTAGAAGTAGAAAGATCTGAAACTCAAGGTTATCTTCTGTTACATAGGGGCTCAAGTACAGCCTAGGCTATATGAGACACTGTCCCCCCACACCAAAAAAAAAACCAAAACCAAAACCAAAACCAAAAACCTGTAGTTCCAGTATTTGGGACATAGAAGCAGAAGCAGGTGGATCTCTGTGTGGCTGTGGTCAACTTGGTCTACACAGCAAGATCCAGGCCAGCCAGGGCTACATAGTGAGGCTCTGCCTAAAAAGGTGGCAGGCATACACCATCGCTGGAGCAAGGAGTGCAGCGAGGGCAGAAAGATTGCCATGAACTCCAAGTGCCACGGACCAGCCCAGTCGGGCTCCCGTTGTCCTCGGGAGAACAAGGCTTTGGACAGGAAGACATGGTTTCGGCGAAGAATTGACAGACAGAGACACCTTGATGGTTTTGACTCTGCTGCGACTTTACTGAAATCAAGCTAGTATTTTTATAATGATTTCACAAAAGGCACCTTAAAATTGGCATACTTCCCAGAACATTCAGACTTTTACCAAGATTAAAAAGTTTACATTTTAACTCAAAATGCAGTCAAACACAAAGCAGTGCACACAAGAAATCTTGGCCTAAAAACTTTCTGATCAGAGCAAACAAAGAAAAAGAAACCTCAAATGCAGTTTCATTATTGCTAACCAGTGAAGAGGAAAGTCAGGAGCTAAGTCAGATGCCTGCCAAAGTCTTTCCCTGTATCAAAATCTAACTACACCTTTGTTAATCATCCTCCCATATGTCCTGCTAAAAGATTTATAATCTTCCTTAGAAACAAGGCACTGAAGGGAGGGGAAACTTCCGCCAGCTGCACTTCTCATGCTACTTTTTCTTAAAAAGGAGCCTATTATTTTTTACTATTCTTAATGCCTATTAATACTAAATCCAATTACTTTTCTTAAACTTATTTCTTTTACTTTTTATTTTTATTAAAGCCTTTAATAATCTACTAATAATAAATTTCTTTATAAAACTAGTTGTGCTGTTTCAGGAGTCACAGAGAAAGATAAAAAAACTCATTAATCCAGCCCCAGAGCCACAACTGAAAAAGCATAGAAATCTCAGAATACGTCTCTTTTCCAAGTGGGATGAGTCTGCCAGGGACCTTCCAGGGAGCGAATTTCCGAAGAAAGCGTGTCTCCCACCCTGTAGCTTATGCTATTATGGTGACACTGGCGTGGGTGTTGGCATCCAAGCCAGTCTGAGCTACGTAGCCAGATTCTGTCTTAAAGTAAGGAAGGGGGAGAAAGCAAAGAGAGGGGAGAGGAAGGGGTGGAAGAAAAGGAGAAACGCAGAACAGACAGCTGTTCTTGGATGTGTGAGCTCCCTGGTGCTTTTGAGCAGCTGGTGCCAGCTGGGACTGCCCCTCCCCTCAAGCCTCAACTAGAATGACCTTGGAATGTGAGGAGTGGGGAATCAAAGTATTAAAATGAATTAAGTTTGGCCTAAATGTTTTTCCGTACAGGATGAACCATAGCTAGCTGTATAAACATACTGGAACCTTTCGTTGTAACAAGCAGGGGTGCTAGCCAATCACACATAGCCGACTGTTCAAAACAGTCAGAAAAGGTGGTCACAACCCCATTAGGCTGTCCCCAGATCACTTGTATTTTCCATAGGTCACCTGCTGTCCCTGTGAATTAAACCTATCCATGTGGAACTTAATTTTTGTGTTGTTCTGTTTGCTTCCTGAATCTCCCAATGTAGCCCAGCTTGGTATGACCTCATGATCTTCCTGCCTACACTTCCCAAGTGCTGAGACTACAGGTAGGTACCACCATGACTAGTAGCTGGAGCACTCTGAACGGCTTCTGATCTAGACTGTGCCTGATTCTGTCACTGTAAACAAAGCCAACTGAGATCTGCAAAACCAGAGTTTGGGGAGGTAGATTGGTCAGTAAAGTGTTTGCCTTGCAAACCCAAGGACCTGAGCTCAAACCCCAGAGCCCAGGTTTAAAAAGCCCGACATGATGATGCAACCTTGTAGTCCCAGCTCTGGAAAGGCAGAGACCTGCAGAACCCTGGGGCTTGCTGGGCAGCCTACCCTTCTTGACAGACTCTCCACCAGCAACACACCCTGTCCCAAAAACAGGGTGAACGGTACCACCATGAGGTGACACCCAGGATAGTTCTCTGACCTTCACATTCATAGGAACACACACACGCAGGCATGTACCCCCCCACACACACATGCACACACAAAAGATACCCAAAATTGGATGTGTTGTCAACTTCTCAAGACTACGTGGCTCAGCGGGAGTAAGAAACCCCAGTAGAGCAGGGCCAGGTCTGCATCAGCTCCGACAAACCTGTCCTCAGTTTTATTTTCATAAACAGGAGTCAGTCTTACAAGGGCTAGCCAATTGAGAGTGGCACAGTAGGTGCTCAATAAACGACTTTCATCATTGCTACTGCTTTAACTGACTTTGACAATTTGATTTAGGACAATTTTGTGCAGTGGTCATTCTAGGCTTCCCAACCCTGTCCAGTTCCCAAGCCACCCCTACGCCATCTGTAAGGTTTCTACTTTAGCTTTTAGAGAGGTGTTCTGGCCCTGTGGCTTGTCTCTGAGATTCAGTGAAGGATGAAGACAGTGGACTAAAAGGCAGTTTGGGATCTGGGCCAAGTCAAAGAGGGAAAGAGGAGGCACATGTTCTTGCAAGTCCTGAGCTTTGAAGTCTTTTCTAGAACACTCTCCTTATTTTATAGCCTCTTCTCTATGCTCTAGACAGCCTTCTCTCTATCCCCTTTTTACAAGCCCCTCTGTCAGACTTTGCTCTCTGGCCATTTACAGTGTGAAAAACTGCCACTTATTCTTGTCATGAGGACATCTTTACATTTCACCTCTGGCTGAGAAGGAAAGATTTTGTTCACAAAACAAGATTTAGTCAATAACCGAAAGTTACTTCATCAATGTGGAGAAAGGAAAAGAAAAGAGATCCTTGGTCCAGAGTTGCAAAACCACCTACATAGCTATGTACCTGGCCTTGTGGGATGACCAAACAATTCCCACAGCATGTGATGTGAGTAAATTTAGAAGGGTCTGTGTGGAGAATCCTTTTACAAACTTCTAATTCAGCTTTGTAGCCCTACATGTGCCTGTTTGGAAGTAGGGCTATCTTTTTAAGGATACTCATAGCCCTCACTTCTTGGCTTTTCATCAGTCCGCTCTATGCTGAACCTAAGATGACCATGAAGAGCTCTGTGGGGTGTCAGGCAAGCTGCAAACTAAACTCTACCATCCCATTATTCTCTTTTCTCCTTGTCTCCTGCATTGTCCTGAAGCCCCCCCCCCCACTCTTTCTGACTGTGTCCTTCAATGTTCCCTGGAATCTCCACCATTCCAGCCTTCACACCTTCTCTGGAATATAAGCAAACACCCTCTAAGGATGGACCTCACTCCCTACCTTCAACCCCAAAGATGCTCAGTGCTGTGTCTGTCATCTGTTTGCTCATACTTGACAGTAATAGCCATCTACTGTGAGATACCTCTCACCACTCTCCTTACCCACTTGCCCAGAAGTACTGGTTCACCTCCCCATCACTCCACTATCCCCTGTCTAACACTGAGGGTAGCTCTGGTGGAACTCGAGATGATGCCTGCATGGCACCCAATGATGCATACAGTGCACAATGGACAGGGGCTTGAAGCAGCTTCTTCTTGCTTTGTACTTGGAAGAAAGAAGGTATGGAATGTCCCTTGCTATTCATAACCATTGGAGAGGGGGTGAAGGTAAAGAAAGAGAGTATTGCCTGTATGTACAGGGTGAGGATGTCTCTGTTGCCTGCCCTCAGGCAAGCTGCTGTACCATGTAGGAGCTTAGAGGAAGGAAGTCCCAAAGAGGCCCTTCCAAAAAGCCTGAGGGTCCTCAAGACCACAGTTATCATAGTCTCTGAAAACATCTCCAGCCAGAGCTCATTCTGCCAACTTTCAAACCAGCTTCACTCCCTCTCCAGTCTTCCAGAAGGCAGCTCTGGTACTCCAATGGCCGTCTCAACTCTTGTCTCTCTCTTAGTCCTGCCAAGTCCTGTTGTAGCTCAGATGTATGTGCACATCATGTCAGTGGGCTCTACCTATTGGGGTGTCAGGGACCCTGTCTTTCCTGGGCTTGCATCGTGGCCCATCCCTCCCATTAGCCTGGCTTTTATCCCACCCACTATTGTCTCTCAGGGCTATTACCCAAATGCCTGCCACCCCTGTCACTCATCACACTACAGACAGGACAGCTTCCTCATGCAGGGCTGGCATATCACTCCCAATTCCTCACAGTCCCCTTGGAGCTCAGAAGAAACAACCAAGCTCCTGTCCTGTGTGTTCCTTTTCCACTGTGCCCAGTCTCACCTGCAGGTGCCCAGCTTATTTTATCATGCTATCAGTGACCACAGTTCCCAACTTCAAGTGTTTCCTGATCCAGCTTGGGTACAAAGCATTTCATCCAACCCATACCCATCCCCACCCAGAGACACAGCTTTTGTAAGGTGTTCTAGCCTGGTGGCTCTTAGCCTGCTAGAA